ACATTATATCGGCGTATAACACGCATACATCATTTGCCCCCTATTTTCAGGGGGGGAAAAGTGCGTGTTATACGCCGATAAATACGGTATTACACCTGTTAATACAAAACTGCTATAGCATGATCGATAATGCTATTCCCCAAATTGTTTAAAAAGATATATATGTGGACTAGAAAGTTCAGCCCATTAGATTTGCAATTAGCTGAACATCTCCATTGAGGATTGCTCATAAATGGTTCTGCAAAGTGAGTGGAATAGCAATAGCACTTAGACTTATGTACCGCTTTATAGTGCTTTATAGCCCTCCTCTAAGCGGTTTACGGAGTCAGCATATTGCCCCCAACAATTTGGATCCTCATTTTACCCACCATGGAAGGCTGAGTCAACCTTGAGCCTGGTGAGATTCGATCTGTCAAATTACAGGCAGCTGGCTGCAGCAGAAGTAGCCTGCAGTACTACACTCTAAACACTGCGCCACCAAGACTCATATCTGGAATGCCCCAGACTTTCCTGTAGTGCTATACAACATCTTTATAAATGAGGATAAGAATAGCAGCTACATTTTGTATGACTTTTATGAGTAATGAGGGACCTCCTGGGTAATGAGGCAATGTGGGAATTCTTACAGGGCTGCTGTGAAAAATCATATCAGAATTTCTCAAAACAAAAAAATTGCTTGACTTCACTCAGAATTGGATTCTGAGCAAATCCTTTGGAAGTGACTAAACATGTCTGAGCTGTTACCTGAAAGGAATTTGAATCAGCTGATCCTGAGGAAATGACTTGGCTCCTCTTGGCTTTCAGCTTGCCAAACTGTGTCTATGCCTCTTATGGTTAATTAAGGCTTCTTGGAAGTTGGTTGTATCCAAGCAGGATGAATACCTCTGTGTGGGAAGGGATGGTATTGCCTGCCTTGAAAGAGGCAGTTGTATTTCCTTTTCAAGAGATCATCCATGGACTTAAGTCTAGGTTCAAGCCATGGTATAGTACTGAGACTGTCACATTTTTAACCTCATTCCCAAATAGCAGCTCACCCTAGAAATCCTTCCATCAACATTCTGATGGCATCCTCTATCTCCAAGCCATTTTCCATTCTACCCCCATTTCTACCTACCAAGTAGTCCTTTGTGTGTGGGAACAAGTATAGGCACCTTCAAGTCAGTTTTGACTCCTGGTGAGCCTGAACAACTTTCTTGACCAGATTTTTCACAAATGATTTGCATTTATTGATTGGAGAAGAGACAACATCTACAAATATTATTGACTGAAACCCAGGGGTGGGATTCTACTAGTTCGCACCTATTCGCTAGAACCAGTTGTTAACATTCTAAGCAGTTCAGAGAACCGGTTGTTAGAAGAAATTACTGGCCTAATCCTGTAAGGAAGGCAGGAAGGAAACATTCTGGTGTTGCTTACAGAAATTGCTTCTCTGTTAACCCTTATTACATTCTTGGCAGGACTAGATTTCCTGTCTCCGGAACTTCTCTGGAGTTTTTTCCCCTCCTTTGCTGGTACTTTGCTTGTGTGGAGCGACCATTCAAAGTTACAATGGCACTGAAAAAAGTGACTTATGACCATTTTTCACACTTATGACTGTTGCAGCATCCCCACAGTCATGAGAGGCCAGGCGAGGAGATGCGTGCCTCAATATGAGTGATGTTGAGTTGGCCACGCCCACCAAGCAAGCCATGCCCACAGAACCGGTTGTTAAAAAATTTGAACCCCATCCCTGCTGAAACCTCAAGATTTTTTGCATAAAAAAGAAAATATGAACTGTGATTTGATAATAGACAGGAGAGATTATAGAAAGAAGAGTGTCATGAAATAACTTTAGAGAGAGAAGATAAAATATAATTGTACTTAATAACCATTATGAAAAATATTGGAAGCCATTTTTATGTCTTTATATCTTTTTTTATACCTACCGGTAGCTCTTTTTCTGTTTTCTTCTATAGGTAGTCCTTGACTTATGATCAGTAATTTCACAATCGTTCAAAGTTACAACACCCATAAAGCACTTCCAACCATCATAAAATGTTGCACATACATACACATGCCCTGCTATAATGTGATTGCATTTGGGATCGTTGGCAACTGGCTCACATTTACAACTGATTGCCAAGTGCCCCACAATCACGTGATTGTCATTTGCCATTTTCTCTGCTAGCTTCCTCAGAAAGTCAGTTAGGAAGCCAACAGGAAATATTGCAAGTGGAAGGGGTGGAAAGGAATTGAAATCATGGATTGCAGAAAATGGAAATCCCTTGGCAGGCTGTGGGAACATTTGAGAGCAAAAGGACTACCTCTGAGGTGGGTTTCAGCTATACAAGAAGCTGGAACCTCCACCAGATATCCATTTTGCTCTCAAATCAAGCAGATGGCACATTTGCTCTATTCACTTAAAATTTGGAGTTAATGACAACTGTGAATGCTGGGATTGCGATTATTGACCAAAGTAGTCACATATGCTATAAGTGTTTCTCTTAACAACTGCTTAACAACAAGAACAAATCCAATTATTATAAGTCAAGGACAACCTGTATTTTAGTCTCACTGCACTTTTGCTTTTGTATTCATTCCTTTCTTTTTCCATTTTACTTTTCTACTTTAATTTGTTGTAGTTCTGGATTGCAATTGCTCTTTTCCTAGGGCTGAGAGAGAGACTGGCTCAAAATGACCAATTTGGTTTCATGCCTAAGGCAGGACTTAGAACTCACAGTCTCTCCATTTCTAGCCTGATGATTTGAACCATTATATTAAAGTGGCTGGTTTTTCTTTTGAGCTGAACATTTTCTTCAGTGTTGTTTTCTCCCTTTACACTTCAGCCTGGCAGTTACTCATCAAGGTAAGTAACTTACAAATTTTGTCTCCCTTTTTCCAGCCTTAAGTAAGAGAAAAGTTTTTGAAAGCTTGTCCTAAAACTACCACCTTTGCATGCAGGTTGCTGGCTCCTAAAAGGCTAATAAGTACCAGGAGATATTTGTAGTCTCCTGATGGCCAGCTAAACACAAAGGTTTGTTTGAAAGCCTCTCCAGCATTGGAACATGGCATTGGCCCTTAATCTAGATAGGTTGTTCTGCTGGGGTGTTTTTGGCTTTTTGCTGCTTATCTTCCGTGTTAATGGATCCAACTGGCAGATCTCACATGACACACACACACCTATGTGGTACCCAATGTTTATTTAACATACATTCATTTCATGGTGACATCAGGGAGAGTGGGGACAGTGTCCTTAAACAAAACTGCGTCATGGTTGTCACCACTTGTAACCATAGTGAGCAGGCTATCATAGGTCGAGGGTTACCTGTAATAGCATTTGCATTAGACAATTTTGAACTTTTTATTTTCTTATTTGTGGATTTTTTATTGTAACTCTGCCTCTAATTTGCAATTGTTCCCAATATTACTATATTTTACTTTTACAATTAAGCTTGTGTAATTAAGCTTGTCTCTATTACATTTTTACTAAACTAAACTTATGTCTCATTCCAGTTAAATTATTGTTTTATTCTTTGTCTCTGTGAAACAGCCTAGGTGAATCATTTCTTCCTCAGGAATTAATTTATCGATTTCGGGCCAACATTGTTATCAAAACAAATGAGCCGTTTGAAGAAGACTTCTGGGATCAGATTGCCATTGGTCCTCTACATTTCAGGGTATGGAATGGCTGTAGCTCTCTTTTGTAATTGCAAAGCCTAATGAGGAAAACAAAAAGCAGGAAACCAAAAGTGATCCTAGAAAATAATATTAACCTATTAAATAACCTATTAAATAGGTTAAGATAGCAGCTTTTTTATCTCGTGTAGAGACTATAACCAAACTAACCTTGTTGGCTCAAACAGAAACTGCAAACATATCTTGCTGTTTTCTGCTGGTATTTAACAGCATGTGATTCTCAATTCAGGGGTAATACTGAATCTTCATGATCAATAGCTTTGTTTTTCATAAAATTATCTAAATCTCCTTCAAAACTAATTACATTAGTAGCTGTCACCTCATCCTGGGGTAATTAATCCATAGGTAGATCATGTATAGGTACATTATGATAAGAATTGAGCCAATCATGTTTGATTTTATACATTCTTTCAATTAAGTTCTTTCCTCACATTTTTCCAAGCTAAAGTGTTCAAAATACCAGCTTTTGGTAGAGAAAATATTTGAAACTTCTTACGATTTTGGTTGTTGTTCAAAACATTTTCTAGTACAGTCTAATCTAAGTCTGGTATAAATCTCTGAACTTGGAATCTCTTCAGAAAGCTGGGAGGGGGGGAAATAAACTCTCCTGTTGTCAAAATCAGAATGAACCAAAAGATAAGTATTCAGAAATCAGAAGAGACAGAGTATAACTACAGCAACCTATGATGCAGAGGTGATATTCAGCAGGTTCTGACCAGTTCTAGAGAGCTGGTAGCGGAAATTTTGAGTAGTTCAGAGAACCAGCAAATACCACCTCTGACTAGCCCTGCCCCCTCTATTCACTGCCTCCTGAGTCCCAGCTGGTTGGCTGGGTCGTCTTTGGCTGCCCTGCACAGGAGAATGGAGCAGGAAAGCAGGCTAGTGGGGTGGGGAGGGAATGGGATTTTGCAGTAACCTTACCCTGCCACACCCATCAAACCACACCCAAGAACCGGTAGTAAAAAAATTTGAATCCCACCACTGCTATGATGGTTAATTGGTTCTGGGCTGATTGTGCCTCTTAAGATTACCTGACACTGAAAACTGGTTAATGAATCATATGACATTGTATCCATAGCAAGATCTGTGTTGGGATAAGGGGAAACAGTATTTTAACACTGATATAACTAATGATAAAAATCTTTCTCAGATATGAAATTAGATGAAGGCAGTATCAAGAAACAAGAAAAAAGAGGTGGTGAAGACATTTTTTTGCCACTATTAGATGCAATTCAGGAAAAGTTTCATTTGCATAATTGTGTTAAGAATTGAAGATTAAATGTTATATATTATTATTTTTTAAAGGCAACGAGTAGCCCTAATCTTCCTCCACCTTAATAAGTCTCCACATATCATTTTTTTAAAAATCCTTTCCTTTAAAATTTCAAAGCTGATTCTTTGCATTTAGTAATTTGAGATATGCCACTTTGTAGAATTATTAGGCCTGCTAGAAAGAAGAATAGCACCAAAAAATTCTTATGCTGAATTTTTAAAAAGGCTTTATTTTTAACAAACTAGGATAAAAATAAATAAATTGTGAACTATTAACAGGTAGAAAAATTATGGGAAACTATCTTGGGAGAATCTGCTTGAAAAGAGAGATAACCAGCATAAACCACTTCTAACTAGGCTTTTCAATAAATAGCCTCAGAAACTACAGAGTCTAGAGATCCACAGTGATTTGCAATTTCTACTTGTTGAGCTATTTCTCCCTTTTGTTCTCTCGTTATCAAGTCAAGAGTAACTTTTCATAAGGAATAACTTTTTATTTTCCTTGATGAACATTGATGAACAAGTAAGCTGAAGGCTGAATGGCTCTGTATAAAGTAATGATGTCCTGACATCTTATTTCAAGAAAGATAAACAGTCTTCTTAAGGAAGCTACAATTAGTTGATGAGCTTCCCATTGCACACTTTTGCTATCCAATTTCTGAGAAATCAGCCATTGATTGGGCAAAGAGGAAAGTGATCCAAAGATTTGGATCAGAGAAACCAAAGATTTTTATTTAATTTGTATTGAATTTTGGAAATGATGATGTGGGGTTTGAAAACACTGTAGAACATTTGGTTCTGCAATTGGTTTTGTAATCAAAGGGGATAAAAATAAGAGATGGCTATATTTTGTTATTGTACTGGATATATAACAAGGGTTGCATTGAAGTTTTAAAAACTTTTAAAGGTTTCCCATGTCCAGTTGTGATCAACTCAAGGGAGCATTGCTCATGAGGTTACTGTCTCTAAAGTAGCAGCCAAGATACTCCTTTGAGAAGAGGAATATTATTGTAGCACTACCAGTCTGAAACAGCTGCATCTTTGCAAGTTTTTGATCTATTATATAAAAACTATTAGCCAACTCAAGGCATAGAAATTGCCCTGTGAGTAATATGGAGCTTTATAGTAACATTTTCAATAGCATCCAGAAATGATTAGTGATTACTCCATTGCATGGCAGCAATGAGACTGTCACATAAGTATATGGATTATTGTGTTTTGCATCTGCTGAAGTTTGTGAATTTCAATAATCCCAAGTGTGAGATGAAAAGGGCATGAGTGGTTCAAGCTGTAATCGGGCCTTTCCAAATGCTCTTCTAGCAGGAATTGATTATTCAAGATTATTCACCCTACTCTGTGTAGGAAAGCAGTATCTGCTTACCAAGAATCAGTAAGGTTCTGCCTTGCCTGAGGGGAGCCTATTTTTCCAACTCCAGGCAGCCTCCAGGCATCTGCATCCATCACATCACATCTTCCTGCTCTTTTTTTAAAAAACAATGTTTTGTTTTATTTTTAATACAAACAATCCATCTTTCATTTAAACAGTGTATCATCTGGGTACAAATATCTTGTGCAATAATGATTAAAATTTACATCCATATTCATTACATTAATATTAATTATCTACTCTTAATACTAAAATACATAATACATCTATTATAACAATCCTCACCTTATCTTATTTAATTCTATTAACATATTTTATACATTTTGCTGGTCGTCTTTTGTTTCTAACTTCCATATCTATTCTCTAACCATCGATAGAATAACTCCTGTATCATATAATATTCGGTTTGTTCCTTCTCTTTAATTGCCAGTGTTAGTCTATTCATTTCTGCATATTCTAATATTTTCCTGATCAGGTTCTCATCAGTAGGAATCTCTTTCACTTTTCCAATTTTGTGCGAATACAGTTCTAGCTGCAGTTAATACATGAATAATTAAATATATATTCTCTTTACTATAAGTTTCCGGTAAAATCCCTAACAAAAATATTTCAGGTTTTAAATCAATATGTTGTATCATCTTTTCAACCAGGTATGTATTTTTGTCCAAATGACAATGCTGGCTTCCTTGGCTAAGAAACGGAGATGAGCATCATCCCTTAGGATCAGACACAACTGGATAAGAGAAATCTTTACCTTTTAATATCCCGTTATCCAACTGAGTTAGGAAAAGTTAGCATTTTTCTTGAATCAAGACATATTTGGCCACTTTCTGAGCCTATTCAGCCTAAAGAGTTTAGCTGATCTTTGCCGCAGTCCTAGTAAAAATAATTGCTGGACATTTCCCGCTACATTTGCCTAGCATTCTAAGCTGAGTAATATTTCAGAATTTTTCTATGTAACTTTCAGGTTTTAGGACCATGTCACAGGTGCCTGGTTATCTGCATTAATCAACAAACAGGGCAGCGAAACAAGGACTTTTTGCAAAGGTTGTCATCCATTAGAGACAGAAAGGTCAGTGTACAAGCACTGGTGTTTTAATAATCCAATCTTCCAATCTTCTTTTGCTGCTTTATTTTCTTTATTATTAAAATTTTATCTTAAACTTTTTGGCATTATTTAATATAGACAGTGTTCAAATGAATATGTAAAGCAAAGGTGACTGGTAATAAAGTGAAGAATTCTAAAAAGAATTCATATCTAATGACATGGAAGTACAAACAAAGCAGGAAGAGGTAGTCCTTGACTACCTGTCTTGGCCTGAGAACACAATGTCATTCTGGAGATCGTTAATGGACTAGCCCACCTCCTACCTGTGTTCTCCTTTCTTTACCATGTTGTTAATTTTAACTCATTTGTAATTTATTTATTTATTATTGTAAATATTTTATTTTGTTATTTAACTTACTGTAAGCCACATATAATCACCTCTAGGTGAAATGGGTGACATATAACTTTCATAAATAAATATACCTGATGAAACTAGAGAAAGGAGCTGTATGCATGCAATGACCAGTTACTTATTTTTTTGTGTTTGTTTGTTTATCTTCCACATTTATTTATACTATTTCTTAACTGCCTATCTCCCTCAAAGTTAAATTCTCTGTGTAAAGCTCTTTTCCCCCACCCCCAAAAAACGATGAAACATTTGGTTTGAGTATCACCCACCTCAACCATGGGATCCTTTTAATAAAACATATTAGAGAAAATTCTAGGCAATTTCCAAAATTCTACGGATTAATCTTTGGAGGTGGTACCGTTTTTGGTCAGAAATGTGGTATCTGGCAAAATCAGAGAATGATAGAAATAAGGAATAGGAAGGAACCATTATTCATCAATCACTTAGGCCAGGGGTGTGAAACTCAATTTCACTGAGGGCCACATCAGGGTTGTGTTTGACCTTGGGGGGCTGAGGTAGGCTTAGCCAGCTCAACATCACTTGTGTCGGGGGCACCTGTAGTGGCCAAGTGCTAAGGTAGGACTTCCTTCAGACCCTCACTCATTATAACCTTCCTTCCTTCCTTCCCTCCCTTTTCCTTCTCTTTTCTTCTTCCTTCCCTTCTTTCCTTATTTTTCTTCCTTTCTCTCTTCCCATCTTTGTCTTTCCACTTTCCCTTTCTCCTTTCCTGTCCATTCTTATATGCTCAAATGCAAAAGGAGAAACATTTCCCCTTTTCTTTTGTTTTTAGTTTGTTCTGCTTGGCGGGCTGTGATTGCATCTTGCCGCCCTCTGCCAGTGAAAACAAAGCCCTCCCTATCTCCATTTTCATTGGCAGTGGCACCATGGGCCTTCCTTTGCTATTTCCAGGAGAACTGTAGGTTGATATTGTATAATCTGCTTCATTATGGCTACTATAAGTAGACTACAATAATCTGAAACTATTTGTTTCCATTTAATAGTTGTCCAGATTTTTGCATTCTAGTTTTGGAAGTCTTGATTTCATAATATAAGCTGACAAATGTGATGTTTCTTTTTTTCAGACTAACTTTGGAATATACCTGGCAAATCACTCTGAGACAGAATTCTCCCTTTCTAATGCCATATTAGTAGGATCTGAGATACTTGTGTTAAAGAACACTACATCTTCAACCTCAACTGAAGAGAATAAATCAGTCTAAGCAGCAAATGTATCTGTTTTTTAGAGAGCTCACGTTTGTTGTGAAATTTCAATCTTCCTCTGTATTAATATAACTATGATTATATGATTATCGTGGGATGCGATGGCTCAGTGGCTAAGATGCTGAGCTTGTTGATCAGAAAGTTTGGCAGTTCGGCAGTTCGAATTCCTAGCACCGCATAACGGAGTGAGCTCCCATTACTTGTCCCAGCTTCTGCCAACCTACCAGTTTGAAAGTATGTAAAAATGCAAGTAGAAAAATAGGAACCACTTTGGTGGGAAGGTAACAGTGTTCCTTGCGCCTTCAGCATTTAGTCATGCTGGCCACTTGACCACGGAGACGTCTTAGGACAGTGCTGGCTCTTCAGCTTTGTAACTGAGATGAGCATTGCCCCCTAGAGCCAGAAACGACCAGCACGTATGCGCAAGGGAAACCTTTACCTTTACCTTATGATTATTTGTGAGCAATTTTGTGTTAAATCTAATAAAATTCCATTCTTTCTTGCAACTATGATTATTTATATCTTTATGTAATTATTATATACAGGAATTATTTAACATGTAGTATGATGTAAAACAGTGATCCCCAACCTTTTTTACGCCGCGGCCCGGTATCCCCAACCTTTTTTATGGCGCGGCCCGGTACCTCACCGGAAGCACTTTTTCATCAAAAAAAGATGGCGGCGCCAGCGCTTCCGGTGAGCTTTTCCGGGTAGAAATGGCTTTCTACCCGGAAAAGCTCACCGGAAGCGCTGGCGCCGCCATCTTTTTTTGATGAAAAAGTGCTTCCAGTGAGCTTTCGGTACCGGTCCGCGGACCGGTGGTTGGGGACCCCTGATGTAAAATATAAAATTGGTTGCTTAACAGCTATTCCGCCCACACATCAGCATCGCCAGTAAGAGCAGGGTTTTTTGTAGTAGATAGCATTACAGCTTCTTGGATCCTGATTTAGTAGAGCTTTTTAACTTCCTAATGAGTGCCAACAGCCATCCTGTTTTGCTTCGGTATATTCCAGGGGTGGGATTCAAATTTTTAAACAATCGGTTCTGTGGGCGTGGCTTGATTTGTGGGTATGGCTTGGTGGTCATGTGACTGGGTAGGCGTGGCTTGGTCACGTGACTGTCTGGGCGTGGCTAGGTGGTCATGTGACTGAGTAGGCATGGCCATGTTGTCATGTGACTGGGTAGGTGTGGCCAATTTAGCAGTCCATTTTGCCAATTTAACAGTCTATTAAACAATACCCAGCAGTCCCTTTTCCTATTCTTCTTTTTAATACTGCATGAAGTTTTTGCTCCAGGTTTTTTTATTAGGAGGGAGAGGTTGGCAATGCCTGGGGAAGGGAAGGAAAGGCATGCTTTCCACAGGTCTCATGACTATATTTAAAGGGCCAGCTAATGTCATTGGGTTTTGGGAGTTTCATTGGTGAGGTGATAGTGACTGGATGTGCGATGTTCACTGGTGCAGTAACAAGTTGATGGTGGTGAGTGTTAATGGAGAACTCATTGGGCTAGAGATGTTAACTGTGCTCAAAACATTATCTGGGCTTCTCATATTAATTGCAGCAGCCACAATGCGAGCAGCTGCTCCTTTGGTACTAAATGATTTTTGCCCCATTTAACAACCTTTCTTGCCACAGTTGTTAAGTAAGTCACTGTAGTTGTTAAGTTAATAACACAGTTCTTAAGTCAGAAGGTTGCAAAAGTTGATCATATGATCCCAGGACACTGCAACTGTCATAAATATGAACCAGTTGACAAGCATCTGAATTTTGACCATGAGGATGCTGCAATGACTGTAAGTTGAAAAGCAGTCATTTCAGTGCCATTGTAATTTCGAATGGTCGCGTAATAAACTGTTGTAAATTGAGAACTACCTGTATATACAGAAATTATTCCTGTTAATTTCAAGGGACATGTAATTTCCAGAATAAAGTTATTGGGTTCATGAAATGAAAGGTGGGAACAGAGGGTGGAAGGGAATGGTTGTTAAATCGAGGGCTGCCTGTATGAACTTCAACCTCCAGAATTCCCCAGCCTTCTTTTTGCTGCAGATCCCATATCCGGTGTCAAGATGAAGAGATGAGACAGCATTTTATCAATAAAAATTTAATTTTGAATTATTTGCTTTATATGATCACAATCTTAAAACCAGACCTACAGATGTAAAAATATAGGCAGATTTCATGTAAGAAAAGCTAGAATGTTTGCTAACTGCTAACCAATCTCCCTGATCCTGACACATATACTAGCTAAATAACAAGTTTCACAGAACCCAGCAAATCCCAGGGAGGACCATCTAACTTATATAAAGGTAAAGGACAAAAGGGGAGGAGGAGGAGACGGTGGGGAGCAGATCAACCCACAATCCTGTAAATCCCAAAGCTAGTATCCTTAAAAGGGACCTATAGAAAGCACATACACACACCAGTCCTTTCACACTAAAAAGATAAATAGCTAAAAAGACACACCAAGCAGACAGGGCAGAATGATGTGAGCTTGCACAGACAAGATGAGCCAAATTGGCTCTGCTGAGCCTAGAGAGAAGCTGGGGAATGCGGTTTGTGAGCAAGCCCTCGGGGTGGTTTCAAATCACGATGGTACTTTTTTTCGCTGCTGACGGAGCGACCTGATCGAAGCTGCTGCTGAGCACAGTGGAAACTGGCCAGGCAAATTAACCCCCCCATGCTACCAAAATGGATTCCTGGCTGCTGCGCTGCAATGTAGAAACAGGAAATGGAGCAGCCAGCACAAGGGGAGCAGGAGGAACAGGGAGAAGAGAAGGGCAGCAGCCACCTCCTTACCTCATGTCAGCCACTCTGTTGCCTGTTTCACCATTGCAGCACCACACCATGGAGCTTTCCCCACCCACCACTGCCCAGATGTCCTCGCTTCTCCCAAGGATTTATTTGCCTACCTGATTTGAGGCTCCTTCACGTTTCTTGCCATTGTGTGCAGGGGAAAAAAGTTGTGTTGGGGCTAAAAGAAATCACTCAATTCCACCTTCGCACGATCTCTTTCTTTTGCGAGAAGTTGGAATTGATTTAAAAAATTTTTTTAGCCTCACACAAACTTTTCTTTCCCTGCACACAATGGCAAGAAACATGAAAGAGCCTCAAATCAGGTAGGCAAAGAAATCATTGGGGAATTTGTTCTCCTGGCCAGCTCAGCCGTGCAGTTTCCCTGCCAGGGGGAGAAGAACTGTCTCCCAGCCAGCAAGGCCGCGGCCATGCGGCTTCTTCCCAACCAGGGGGAGAAAGTGAATGTGCAAGCCTGGGAGATGGGGGGGGGGACAGCGCAGAGGCCTAGGCTGGCTTGGGAATCGACTCGACGGGGCTTGCTTACAGGCCAGGGAGATCATGGCCGTGGCAGAAGGCAGGCAGCAATGGTGGCAAAGACAGGTTAGCAATGGCGGGCAAGATGAGGAGTGACTGGATGGGGCAGGGAGGGGAGGGACCAGCCAGTAGCATGATTTGACAGCTCTCCAAACTATGCAGAATCATAACAACCAGTTCTATAGAACCAGTCTGAACCGGTAGAATCACACTCCTAGTATACTCTTCCGAGTTCTGCTTTTTCCAGAACCACCCCAACCAAAATACAACAGGAAGGAAAACAAATGAAAGCAAGGAGACAATAACAGATGACATCAGGATGGCTGTGGATACTCATTAGGAAGATAAGACGCTCTACTAAATCAGGACCCAAGAAGCTTCATTATTATGTGCAAGCTAATGATTACTAGAAATAATTGCATTGTTTATTATATTTGATAATTTTATTTTTATAATTTTATATAATCAAACAATTTTAATAGAACAATATAAGATACACAAAGTGGAAGAAAAGAAAAAGAGAAAAATGCAAAGAAAACAAGGAACGATAGTATAAAAAGAAACCCCTTCCTTCCTTAAGAAAGCTATTTCCCCTCATCATGGCCTCATCATAGCAAGTATAAGCAATTGCATAATCTTTTCATAGCTAATAAATATAAAACTTTTCATCCCATAACCCATCTATTAAAAATAGGCAACTCAAATAAGTAATGTCTTCTTCAATCCAGTAACCAGCAAAAAATGCCAAACTCTGAGATTTTAACATTAACATGTATAAAATTCAATTTTCTACATCACAACTCTTAACTATAACAAAAATTATTCAAAAGGTCCCAATATTGTAATGCGTAGATAGTCCCCAATTTACAACCAATCATTCAGTGACTGATATTACAATAGAAGTCAATCAAATCTTATGATTATAAATCAGCATAGGAAGGGTAGAATACAAATAGGTAAGAATTTGAAAAGTTAAAAAATACAAAATACATAAAATTAAAGAACTATAACGTATATGTAAAACCAGCAATCTAAAAATATTATATAAGGAGATAAAAAATAATATAATAACAAAACACTCAACTAACAAATCATTAGGTTTGAGAAATAGGCCATCATCTGAAAGATTTTGATCATTGCTGTGTAAACCTAGCAACACTATATTGATGTGATAAGACTAGTACAAATGCCTGGCACATGCTCTGTTATTTCTATATGTCCAGAGTATAGGGGTATTGCTCCTTCAGGTGGAAAAATTTCCTGTATCTGCCTTCAGGAACAGCTCAGAAGAATGAATAAAGGCCCTCTGGTGGCTAGGTACTTCAAGACTCCATAAGTATATAATGGATAAGGCAGAATACCTATTGGATTCACTGTCAATAAAAGTTGCAGCCCTGGCTAGTTCCAGCTGGAGCTAGATATCTTCTAAATGCTATTTAATAAGAACTTTGGCCTGATCATATACAATGCTGAGGATAATTCTTGAAGAGAAGCCCAACATTTAGATTTAAGTTGCCCCTGCTTTGTTCCTTGTGTTAACAGGGATGAGGCCAAGGGGGAAAAGGATAGTTTGAGACAATAGTTGAGTATGAACACCCAAACCCTGGCCTCAATTTTCATGGGCCTTTTTCCAACTTCAGGGTTGTATTACAAACACATTTTGGGACTTGAAGGGTTGACCTTAAAAAATTGGATTGAACGATTTGTAATGATTGCAAAGTTGGAAAAGTGCCCCAGTTGGGCACCATAAAGAAGTTGTGCTATTGATTTGACTTTGAATAGTAAAGGGTGTTCCAGGTATATAGTGGCCATCTTGAGGAATTTCAGAATGGCATTGATTTCTACATTTTCAGTAACATCTCCATGGAGTTTCCTACTGTTAGCAGAATGAAGG